CACGTGGTTGGATGTAAGGGATAGTTTATTAAGTATTTTGAAGAAAACGACAAGATTCAGTTTGAGTCTAATCGTCCATAAACGGTCTAACCCAAGTTTATTACATCTAGAAATAAAAGTCAAGGTACAGTGAGCCCCAAGAATACGAAGTGTAAATCGTCTCTCTACTGATTCCAGCCTCAATTTATCCTTGATGCACGCAGTGCTCTGAATCAACATGCAGTATTCTAGGAATGGTCGAACACAAACTTTGTACACTAAAACACGTGACTCATTGTTATGAAGGATTCGAGTTACGTGACCTACAAGACGCTGAGACTTGGAAGTCCGTTTCAACATCTGTCTTGTAAACGACAAGTCAAAGGAATACTTAAGTCTACTGTTGTATGTAACCTAGATAACACTTCACCATTTGTGGTAAGATCTAAATTGAGTAATGTATCGCCGAAGCATATCCATCCACATTTAGCTGTATTAAGCTCCAGCTGCCGTTTTGAGCACCTCTGTGCTACCTTGTTAAGCTTCATGCTGATGCAATTTTGCACATTTTTCGGCTCATGTGGAGAAAATGAATATACTACTTTTAGGTTATCTGCATATAGAAGGGGCTTATCCACACAAATATCATTGATAAACAGTCGAAAGAGCAAAGGGCCTACGACACCACCTTGTATTACACCACTTCCAACAGGGACAGCGTTAGACAATGAAGAGCTAATTTTAACTATTTGATGTAGACTGCTGAGAGAGAAATCAAACTAAGCAAGCAAAGAATTTTGAACCACATAAGATGCGAGGTTATCTATAAGAAGTTGGTGGCTAAGCATATCGAAGGCTTTAGAAATGTCCAGATATGACACTAAGACTAGATATCCTTGGCTACATAGAGAGGAGACTAAATTAAAGAAGTCAAAATGACATGTCATGCAAGATCGATTTTTAAGAAATCCATATTGAATATCACTGATAAATTTTCCAGTGAGTAAATAGTTGGGAAGTTCGTCACTTATAATTTTTCCATAATCCTGGAGATAACTGGGGTAATATTTATCGGCCGATAATTGTTCATGTCAGTCTTATCTCCAGATTTGTAACGTGGTATGATGTACGCGGTTTTCCAACAGTAAGTGTAAGAACCTGATTCCACAGAGAGAACAAACAGCTTTAGAAAAAGAGGTGGACTTTCTGGACCACCATACCTGTAGAGAAAGGACAAAATCCCGTCTGTTCCATTATCTTTCGAAAGCTCGAGGGTATATATAGCCTTATTAATTTTCATGCATTTGAAGGAGATGGATCTTTTTGAGTTGCTTGTCACGCACATAACTCTTGAAGCAGAGCCACTTACGATTCCTACACCATTCGCAAAAATACCACTGAAAAGGTCTGCTATAGTTTTAGAGTCGTATATAAAGGTGCTATTATGCAGGACGCATGGTATTTCAACATTTTGAGTTGCTTTAGCGCGTTTATTGAAAGAGAGAATTAGGTTATGCACTTTCGAGCCACAATTAAGTGCTAGTATCTCCTCATCAACGACTTTTAACCTGTGTTTCTCCTTAATTTGATTGAAAATTATTGTTATTTGTGCAACCACCGTGAAGTCGTTTGACTTGAAATAACGATTCTGTAGGCGTCTTAGTTTATTACGATATTTAGTTGGTATATATAACTCGTAAGGTTTACTAAACCTATACGTTTTAAGAGGTACACAGGAATCTAGCTAAGAGTTAACGATCAGATAGAATTCGTCCATAGCATCCATGAGACTATTACATGAAAGAAAGTTATCCCGGTCTGAAAGTTTAATCAGGGAGTGTAGGAGGTCCCAGTCAGCATGTTTATAGTCTCTATATTGGCAGGTTTTTTGAATGGGTCGATTATAAGAGGGATAGATAGGGAAAGCGCAAACTACTATCTTATGGTCACTGCTTTCAAATTCATCGTGTACTTTTACAGATAGTGGGATAACATCTCTACTAAATACTAGGTTCAGTATACTATCACCCCTTGTTGGCGTAAGAACCCACTGTGAACAGTAGTGCATGGTAATGGCTGCCGAGAACTCATCATTACATGACGGACGACTACCGGTATTCCAGTTAATCTCAGGATAATTGAAATCCCCAGTGATAACCTTAGCATTAAAGTTTAGAGCAGATACATGTGTGAACGCATTGATAATAAGATCATTCTCATTATTCGAACTATCAGGAGCTCTGTAAATACATCCAACGAGTAGACTATGATTCAGGGTGTTGACTGATATCCAGACTGATTCTGGTAAACTATTCAGGACACCATCTTCAAATTTATTATTTGTTAGGGTATCCGAAGCATCCATAGCACAACCACCTCCTCACTTAGTTTCTCCGTCACAGCGATAGAGTCTATAGTTGTGGATATTTAATTCTGCATCAGATATCGCTTGAGAGCACCATGTTTCACTGATAAGTATGAAAGAAGGCTTGATTAGAAAAGATAATGCCCTCAAGGCTGAAATTTTGTTCAGAAGTGAACGTGCATTGATAAGCAATAAGTTTAAAACCGGAGTATGGAGTTTAAAAAAAAACCAAGAGCTTCCCTATTGATGTTGTGTAGTTTAGATTTGCATAGACTGTGGTTTGTTATGTTTGATTGATCATATGGGCTATCGCTTGAGCAAACTGTAGCACTAGTGAGACCAAGGATTTCTGTAGGCCAGAAAAATCATTATTTTGTTAAAGTGGACTTGACCAGGCGGACAGTTAAGACAAGCACCAGCTAGTTGGGGTTGGGTTGATGGTGCGTAACCTAGTAGTCCATCTTGTCCAAAGGGAAATCGTTGGGAAAAATTACGTCTTACAGGTTGACTATTTAAAACGTTTGAGGGTAACCGTGGGGAACGTTGGTTCACTGTGGCCTACCTAATATTAGGTCTGCTTAAACATTGATGGAAGTGGCCGTCTTGTGTAACGTTTGGATGAAGTGTGTTCTTATAACCTCCCCTGAGATGAGTATGGTAAAGTATGGTGTCGTGAAATATATTTTTGTTTTTATTTGGTAGAGTCATCGTAATATATTTGTTATTGAGTACAGAACCAGAGGGTTCTGTACACACATTCTTCTTACGTGTCATAGACTTTTTAATCTTGACAGTGTTTTTAAGAGCTGTTACATTAGACTTAGGTATTTGTTTATGGGCTTTTAATGTTAAACTGGAAAATATCGGATTAATGTTGTTATTAGATATAAATTGGTTATCAGAGGTCACTACAGACATAAGAGGCAAATTAGCACTCTTCATTGGTAAATCAGAGTACTGGATAACCTGAGATAGGTTAGCTGCATCAGTGGGTCCATCTGCTGAATCATCGGGATTTGTTATGATCACAACATCGTCATTTTCGTTTAAGGTACGCTTTTGCGTAATTCTTTGGTTGGTGGTCTTATCTGAGACTATTCGAGCGTTTCTATACTTCGTAAGCGCGCAGATTAGCCGTTCGGATTCTTTCAACGCTTCAGCTAATAAATGAGAATCGAATCTGAACAAAACCGGGCACGAATATTTCTGGTGCTTTTGGTTGAGTCAAATACCTAGGCATGGACTATCTTGGAGGTTAAATGCCTTCAATGTCGAATGCCCTACAGATTTAATGGCGATAGATAATCACGTTATTGCGAGAGATTATTGGCTTAAAAACTTCGATGGAGATGAAATCGATGACAGATTCTGCCTTTATAACGTCTTCAAGTTCCACAGGAACTACATCCTTTGACAATAGTAGTTTAAGGGGTGAAAGTGTCTTTAGTTCTTCCTTAAGATCATCATGCTTGTAAGTTTGAGATGATGTGAAAGCCGTGCGCTTCGGACTTGAATCTGAGCGCGTTTCCTGACATTGTTCACGAATACACGATAATTATCTTTCTATGGTTTTTATTCTTGTATGAGGAGTGGGACGATGAATTGGTGGCGGCCGCTCAACACTGGTCTGAGAAGTGCCATATTTACGACGAGGAACCGGTGGTAAGTGTTGGTGAATTTATGGTAAAGTTGAAATGGTGGTTTCCCAAGTAAAAAAATTGATTTTTATTCGACAATGATATGTTGTGATCTCCATGTTAAGTACCATTGTAGATCATAATGAGGTTTAATTGACGTGCTTAACTCCACAATACTATATTCGTGTGGTTTTCTATCAACACTTCATAAACTACAAGTACACAGTCTACAACTGCAATCACATACCACTGTAGTCACTTTTTTGGATGTTCAAGACTGTGCAAAATGAAACAATATGCAGCATCATTTATTTGAACTCATTAGCACTGATTTCATTGTCAATAAACATAACAAAACAACTGATCTGATGCTTCACTTCTCTTCCACTTCCTCCTTTTACTTCCTCGAACCCTCAATCTTCTTCGGATTTTTGCATCTTCCGTTTGTTCCGTCAGTGTACGGTTGACCACTTCTCACCCTGAAATAGAAACAATAGGAACTGAGAAATGTTGTGGCTAGCCGTCGTTCACATGCACAAACATTCTACTCAGAATGACGTTTCTGGATGCGAGACAGGGTTCTGTGCTAAAGCAACAAGAGTGTCGAATATCCACGTATGAAATGGTTGGTAGATTTAGGGAACAAATTGAATATAAACATGAAGTGAATCACACTGAAGCACACTGATAAAAACACATCATCGGAATGCTTTGAAACCACTGAATCTCAATGTAAAACAAATCATAAAATCGGGATTATGCTTAAGTATGTGATGGAACACTATGTGCATTGACGGATGGAAATTATAAAGACTTACGCAGGTGAGTAGAAACAGGTAATCAATTTTTCGTTTGGATAACCAACGCCTTCACATCTGCTATAACCACATCCCACGTAAGCCGTTTCTGCCTGAACTATCTAGATGTATTTGAGAGAATCGAAGTGATGAGATCTCATTCAGTGATTGGTAATGAAGTTTGAGATTTTGTTCAATCACATAATTTATGTATTCACATACCTGCTTGTAACTGTCGCATTGATGCGGTGGTTCACAGTGGTCTGAATTGTGGTCATAGTGGTCCGATTCTTTCATCCAATAAGTAACAGCTCTACAATAAGCACAATCAAAGCAATCTTACACTCGGGAAACCTACCCTGCCAACTCGGATTGAACAGCGATGTTTTGACCCACGTAGTCAAATAAACCAACTTTTCTGGTCGGTTTCTTGTCGTGAACATCACAGTTTTCGGACCACATTTGAGCGGCAGCCGCCAGTTCATCGTCCCACTCCTCATACAAGCATAAAAATCATAGAAAAATAATTATCGTGTATTCGTGAACAATGTCAGGAAACGCGCTCAGATTCAAGTCCGACGCGCAAGGATTTCACATCATCTCAGACTTACAAGAGGCTGTAATAATTCCTCCGCTGGCACTATGTCCGTTTCCTCACACTTGCTTCGGTATTCTCGATGTTCATTGTGTACTTGCAGCATGAGTTGCGCCTCCTGTGCGTCCAATCCGAATACAGCTTCCATGGAGCAAATGGCAAGTAGTAGTGTGAGCGCCATTCTCTGGTATCTGGTTTTAGTCGAAGACGCAGTCATATATATACACCTTTTTGATCATTTGAATATTGTCCTCACATGTGAATTTTGTATGATCACGCACAATTTTCCTCACACAACCAGAGTACATTCTGCTGTCCTCAGATAGTTCTCACTCAGGTCCCAAAAATGAATTGTACTTCATTATATTTGAACTTTATTTCATAAATAATTACTTCTTTCATTGTTCATTGACACTGCTGACGCTGCAGACACCATGTGTGCCGAGATCTTTGAGTGAAATGAACAGATTATCGTAAATAGTGGTATAAAGCTCCAGATAAATATAGTTTTCTGATCTCCAGAAACTCCAGGCGTCATGTTCTGATTCGGATGAAGCTTTCGATCGCATCTAGTAATTTTTGGTGTTGGGTGAAATCAATTCAGTTCACATAAGGCTATTTGCGTTAAAACAGTGTCACTCAAAGAGCTGAACAACCGTATTTATGGTAGTTGGTGAGTCGCCAACAGAGACCTTAAATGCTACTGGAGAGTTAAAGTTGAGCAATATAAAAGGGAGTATTAGAAGGGAGAATAATATGTAGTGGTGAGTTATGAAATGATTACTACATAAATATTATAACGAGGACATGGAATATGAAGAAAGAATCTCTGATTCTTGAAACATATGATGCATGAAATTCCCATGAGTGTCAATTGAAATCAATGTGAAATCCTTCAATGTATTCACTGTGGAACACAATCAACAAGAATCATGAACAGCTTTTAACAACTGACTGATCATGTCATCAAGTCAACTACTGCGTCAAATGTTTTGTATTTTCATATGCGTTCGTTTTGCTTGTTTGTGTCGTTTCCAGACCAAATTCGTCACTTTCCGCATGTCAAACATTGTTTTGCATAACATTGCCAGTTGTTACTTTGGCCCGTTTACAGCACTTGAGAAACCTCGAAACACATCAATCGAGTGATTTCGCTCTGTAATCTTCTTGTTGTCGATTCATGTAGTTAGGCGGTTTAGGAGAAGCCATGGCAACAAAGCGGGATAAAGATGAGTATGATGATAAGATTGTGCAGTTTCATTTCCTCCCATCTTCTGTCACAACACAGCTGACGATAATAAAGCTGCCCACATATTTTGCATTAGTTACACTCATGCTAAACGTGGTTTGTGACAAATTAAACAGTATACACGTATCCGAGTTACGGAACACTGTATATTAGGTGGACATATTGAAACGAGATTTCCTTGGTACAGGATATCAAGTGGATATGCTGAAGTCTTTCAAAAAGGATAATGGTAAACCAACCTCCAATCTTCCGAAATTCTCCGAAGCTATAGTGATCAAATGTCTAAAACAAGATCTGTGTGTCAAGAAAGAAGTTGTAATAAATCTTCCTCTGCTCAGACAACATCACATCTCTTTTATTGCATTATCCACTACTTCAACTCTCCCTGAAGTATGTTCACATCACTGTCATCTTTGTTTAGTCCGTGACTGACTCATTTCAACCCGAAACATTCTGTATTGTCATTAATGTGTTTTCTGCTACTTCATTGCACAATCATCTATTGTTTGTTAACTTTATGGGTTATAATCACTAGTTCAATGTTCCGAAACTTTCTACCTCAAACTTTATTTATTTATCTGAAACAGAATATTTTTTTAGTCTTATTGACTGTATTGGGATCTTCGCTACATCTTCTTACACAGATTCATCTCTGATCATCTTCGTATTTTCTAAGTGTGTCAATATCTGTAAAAGCTTTGATTTAAAAATACTATAGGTTGTAACCAACTGATGGGAACCTAACGAAGTAAAATGAACTCGTATTATTCTGCACCCATCGTTGCTTTTGTTTACTTTGAGATAATAAGGAAAACTGTGTACTTGAAATAATTGATCAGCGTCAAAGTGCCAAAACTAGTCGATATCACTATCAACTGTAATAAAATTAGTAACAGTGCTCTGTTGGTGAGTGCTTCCCTGAAATCTTTCAGCGACGCAGCTGTGACCAGCCATAATGAATTTATGAGCAACAGTCATGTAAGGTGCGATTTGATAAACAAAGATCACTTGTACGACTACGTCGATGTTGTTAACAATAGTGTTTTAGCCATTATGTTTATCTGCCGCATATTCACTATGTATAACCACAAAAACTGTTTTAATCCGTTTACAGTGCTGCACAATTGTCAGTAGCAATCTTTTAAATTTCACTTTCCAATCAGAATAATGTTTCTGGATGCGAGACAGGGTTCTGTGCTAAAGCAACAAGAGTGTCGAATATCCACGTATGAAATGGTTGGTAGATTTAGGGAACAAATTGAATATAAACATGAAGTGAATCACACTGAAGCACACTGATAAAAACACATCATCGGAATGCTTTGAAACCACTGAATCTCAATGTAAAACAAATCATAAAATCGGGATTATGCTTAAGTATGTGATTGAACACTATGTGCATGTTCATGAATAATGTCAATATACCCGCTCGGAATCGAACCTATAGCTTAAATTAGCCTCATGTTTTCAAACTTACAAGAGGCTCTCATATTTAATTCGTGCCAGCTTGCAGGCATGTTCAATTTGATATAAATAGTAACATCAGATGTAGTGAACAAACAAATGATGTAAGATAGTTTTAAGTATACTAGTTCAGTAATTCTTTCGGTAGTACATGTATTTTGACGATCCAATTAATAAGCCCGGAACTTTTAATTTTTCTTAAATGAATAGCCTGTTGATTTATGAACGGAGTAGTTAAGGTCATTTCGTGTGCCAGATCGAACTAATGATAATTATCTACAACTAGAGAAATGAAAACGAAAACAGAGAGCACAGAACAACAAGGCAGTAATTACCAAAAAACGTCAATCAGGTCTACCAAAATACATGTGTCATGTGACACAGTGATATATTGTTGATGCTAGATATTGTTCAAGTTAGTTAAGATTGCCGGTGACAGCAGGTAAGTGGTTTTACTTACGGAATTCACTAATAAAAGTGGCTAAACATTTAAAGTCCCTATAATCTCACCTGTGGAATAAGATACACTCACAGGTGCTAGAACATTCAATGTATTTTCAGAGGAGCAGTATGCATCAATGCACCGATTAAATAATAGGAGCGATTTTATCGTACAGATAGATTGTCGTAGATTATTCCAGAGTCCAGAAAATTTACAGGTGAAGAAATTCATATGGGGAGATGATTTGGAATAAGTTTGTTTCACCAGTGACAAGAAATTACGGATGTCATGATGAGAAGTTTCTGCATATTGAATCACGTGGTTGGATGTAAGGGATAGTTTATTAAGTATTTTGAAGAAAACGACAAGATTCAGTTTGAGTCTAATCGTCCATAAACGGTCTAACCCAAGTTTATTACATCTAGAAATAAAAGTCAAGGTACAGTGAGCCCCAAGAATACGAAGTGTAAATCGTCTCTCTACTGATTCCAGCCTCAATTTATCCTTGATGCACGCAGTGCTCTGAATCAACATGCAGTATTCTAGGAATGGTCGAACACAAACTTTGTACACTAAAACACGTGACTCATTGTTATGAAGGATTCGAGTTACGTGACCTACAAGACGCTGAGACTTGGAAGTCCGTTTCAACATCTGTCTTGTAAACGACAAGTCAAAGGAATACTTAAGTCTACTGTTGTATGTAACCTAGATAACACTTCACCATTTGTGGTAAGATCTAAATTGAGTAATGTATCGCCGAAGCATATCCATCCACATTTAGCTGTATTAAGCTCCAGCTGCCGTTTTGAGCACCTCTGTGCTACCTTGTTAAGCTTCATGCTGATGCAATTTTGCACATTTTTCAGCTCATGTGGAGAAAATGAATATACTACTTTTAGATTATCTGCATATAGAAGGGGCTTATCCACAAAAATATCATTGATAAACAGTCGAAAGAGCAAAGGGCCTACGACACCACCTTGTATTACACCACTTCCAACAGGGACAGCGTTAGACAATGAAGAGCTAATTTTAACTATTTGATGTAGACTGCTGAGAGAGAAATCAAACTAAGCAAGCAAAGAATTTTGAACCACATAAGATGCGAGGTTATCTATAAGAAGTTGGTGGCTAAGCATATCGAAGGCTTTAGAAATGTCCAGATATGACACTAAGACTAGATATCCTTGGCTACATAGAGAGGAGACTAAATTAAAGCAGTCAAAATGACATGTCATGCAAGATCGATTTTTAAGAAATCCATATTGAATATCACTGATAAATTTTCCAGTGAGTAAATAGTTGGGAAGTTCGTCACTTATAATTTTTCCATAATCCTGGAGATAACTGGGGTAATATTTATCGGCCGATAATTGTTCATGTCAGTCTTATCTCCAGATTTGTAACGTGGTATGATGTACGCGGTTTTCCAACAGTAAGTGTAAGAACCTGATTCCACAGAGAGAACAAACAGCTTTAGAAAAAGAGGTGGACTTTCTGGACCACCATACCTGTAGAGAAAGGACAAAATCCCGTCTGTTCCATGATCTTTCGAAAGCTCGAGGGTATATATAGCCTTATTAATTTTCATGCATTTGAAGGAGATGGATCTTTTTGAGTTGCTTGTCACGCACATAACTCTTGAAGCAGAGCCACTTACGATTCCTACACCATTCGCAAAAATACCACTGAAAAGGTCTGCTATAGTTTTAGAGTCGTATATAAAGGTGCTATTATGCAGGACGCATGGTATTTCAACATTTTGAGTTGCTTTAGCGCGTTTATTGAAAGAGAGAATTAGGTTATGCACTTTCGAGCCACAATTAAGTGCTAGTATCTCCTCATCAATGACTTTTAACCTGTGTTTCTCCTTAATTTGATTGAAAATTATTGTTATTTGTGCAACCACCGTGAAGTCGTTTGACTTGAAATAACGATTCTGTAGGCGTCTTAGTTTATTACGATATTTAGTTGGTATATATAACTCGTA